GGCCTTCATTTTTGTTGGGCCGGGCCTGGCGTGGAAATGAAATAAAAACTCAATTTTGTCTACTTAAATAGAGAATAAAATAGCGGAAATTGTGGAGCTACGAAACGACAGTGTAGAGGAACCCAAAATTTTAGAGGACTTTTTGCCGTGAAGCGTGGCAGATTCACGACCGTCCATTAGAATCTTGATCTTCGGAAAACGGAATGTGAAAGTCACTCCAAGCCTAGAGGACAACGAGTCGAAGACCAAAAAACTAAAGCAGTAATAAGCAACTCACGAACTCGTCTTGTTCAATCTCTCTGACATTATTAATCTAATCAACAAAAACTCTGACCAAAGTTTGCAACTTTCTGAGATTTCAGAGAAGCATCCACCGATTCGGCTACAGAGAAGACAGAAGCAATGATTCCCGGCGACAAATCATCAGCGAAAAAGCCCAAAGCTATTACACCAGAACAAGATCAAGACCCACCAAGCCAATCAATCGCACTTCTCGACAACAACTCCGATTCAGATTCTTCCACTAGCTCCATCTCAAGCTGCTTCGTCTTCACATCTCTCCTTCTCGTCACCATCATCGCTCTCTCCGCCGCTTCCGCATTCGCATTCCTCTTCTTCTCTTCTCAAAAACCCCTTCTTTCTCTAAACCAAGTCTCAAAGTCTCCAGCTTTCGACAGATCCGTAGCTCGACCACTCAAGAAACTCGACAAGCCTGTTGTTTTACTGATTTCCTCAGATGGGTTTCGTTTCGGGTACCAATTCAAGACCAAATTACCAAACATCCATCGATTAATCGCCAACGGAACTGAAGCCGAGACTGGTCTAATCCCAGTTTTTCCGACACTAACTTTCCCTAACCATTACTCTATCGTCACAGGTCTATACCCAGCTTATCACGGAATCATCAATAACAGATTCGTGGATCCAGTTACAGGGAACGTTTTCACAATGGCTAGTCACGAGCCAGAGTGGTGGTTAGGTGAGCCATTGTGGGAGACAGTAGTGAACCAAGGGCTTAAAGCTGCTACTTACTTCTGGCCTGGCTCTGAGGTACACAAAGGCTCTTGGAATTGTCCTAAAGGTTTCTGTCAAATCTACAATGGATCTGTTCCTTTTGATGATAGGGTTGATACTATCTTGAGTTATTTCGATTTGCCTAGTAGCGAAATCCCGAGTTTCATGACGCTTTACTTTGAAGATCCTGATCATCAAGGTCACCAAGTTGGCCCTGATGATCCTCTGATCACTGAAGCTGTAGTTAACATTGATCGGTTAATAGGTAGATTAATAGATGGGTTAGAGAAAAGAGGGATTTTTGAGGATGTGACTATGATTATGGTTGGTGATCATGGAATGGTTGGAACTTGTGATAAGAAAGTGGTTGTTCTCGACGATTTAGCTCCTTGGATCAAGATCCCTAGCAGCTGGGTTCAGTATTACACTCCGTTGTTAGCGATTCAACCCCCTTCAGGTCACAGTGCAGCGGATATCGTGGCTAAGATAAACGAAGGCTTGAGCTCGGGTAAAGTAGAGAATGGAAAGTACTTGAAGGTTTATCTCAAGGAAGATTTACCTAGTAGGCTGCATTACGTAGACAATGACCGGATCCCGCCTATTATAGGGCTAGTCGATGAGGGCTTCAAGGTTGAGCAGAATAAAAGTAAAGCCAAGGAATGCGGTGGAGCTCACGGATATGACAATGCCTTCTTTTCGATGAGAACTATGTTCATCGGGCACGGTCCCATGTTCTCAAAAGGAAAGAAAGTGCCTTCTTTTGAGAATGTTGAGATATACAATCTGATCAGTTCGATTCTAGGACTTAAGGCTGCCCCAAACAATGGATCTGACGAGTTTCCTTCAAACGTTCTCATGCCCCGGGCATAGCAGAGTAGAGTAAGTTCATTCTTCTGTCAGTAAAAGGCAGCCTAGAATCTATGACTCTGTTTTTTTTAAGCCGCTGCAAAACACGAAACATAAACGTGTTTTTAATCTCTTAGACCTTTTTTGATGGACTGTATGTTGTTTTATTATGATTTTAACGAGCTCTTATTGTAACATTTTGGAATTCTCAAAACTTGTCTTGAAATTTGATGCCAAGATTGGTAAGTTTGTACTTTCCACCATAGAAACTCAATGCTTTGAATTTGATACTCAAATCGTTTATCAGAATGATCTTTGTAGTTGCATAAGTTGGTTAGTATTGGATCCGAATGAAAAAAGTTTCAATTAAAATAAAAAGGAAATTAGCAACAATAACACACAAAAAAAAACTTTAATCTAAAAACTACCCAATTAACTACTTTTTAGATTATATTTTTTTTTTTTATTCCTCAAATTAACCCAAAAT